GCTAACCAGAAGGCTGGCGGTTCAAACCCACCAGCCACTCCTCAGAAGGAAGGTTGGGCAATCTACTTCCATAGTGATACCACCTTGGAAACCCAAGGAAGGGTTGCTATAAGTTGGGTCTGACTTGAAGGCACATAACAACAACAACAAAGGAGCAAGGTAGAGTTCAATGTACTGTGGGGTCAAGATCTCCAAGACAGAAGGGGCAGAGACAAGATAGTGTCCCAGTAATATATTCCACCCAATCCATCTACAACAGCGACCCAGAAAAAAAACAAGTCACAGATACAAATAATGATCCTGGAATTCTGCATAAATTAGAAGATAAAGAATTAGATTGAACATTGATTGGAAAGGGAAATGAAGTAAGGTCAGTGATTGAGAGAGAAAAGAGGCTGGGACTGGCTGAAAAATGGTCATTTTGAACACAGAGCATCTGATGCAGACAAAGACTGAAAAAAAAAAATCTTCACCAAATTCACACAGTGGAAACAACACAGCGTAGACCAATTGGGAGGAATTCAAGGTGATCAAAAGATGTGTGGGAGCTGGGAGAGGAATGTACAAGAAAGCAAGTCAGACTTACAGTAGCACAGGAGCCTCCAGACATAGAAGGGAACAAGAAAGGGGATGAAATAACTCACCACTGGCAGACATTGGTCTTTTGGACAAATGAAAGGCCTATGTTGAGGCAATTGAAGAAACTGGGCTCGGGTCAGTTTCTTGCTTGACTGAATCTGGGCAAGAGCTGGATAAATGGCTGCATGTACCCAAAAGGATGCCGCAACCATCCCATTCACACAGTGAATTGAGATTGGAGGGATACTGTTCTTTGATCCAACAAACACACACCTTCCCTATGTATAGGGGTAAATACTCTTTCCACTGCCACAAAATGACTAGACAAGCTCCATCTTCACCTGCCCTGATCCCTGGATACCCCCACCTCTAACAGATTGCTCCCAGGACTGACGGCTGACCATAATTACAAAAATCTCTCCTCCTCAGTTTCCTTATTTTCTCCTTTCTTTTATCCATATTTTTCTTCCTTTTTACTTGTTCATTTCTCTCTCTTCCTCTTAGTCCTCTTTCATTTTTATCACTTCTTTCCTCTCGACCACCCTCCCTTTTCCTTTTTCTATATTTTTATCCTTTATTCTTTTATATTCCTTTTTATTCTCTTCTTCATCTCCCCCCTTTTTTTTCTTACCCCATGCAACAGAAGGAGAACATTAACTCTTCACTAGTCAGCCATATTTACTGCACTGAACACATCACCCACTGGATCAGCACCACCACCAACCCCCACACCACTGGATCAATGACAGATGGTGGATAACACCTGTTCATCCCAACTGAAGCTCCTTGTCATGACAGAAACCTGCAGCCATATTCCCACCAAATATTTCACTAACCTGCAGACACCTAGGAATTCCCAGTGACCCCAAGCTAACAACCAAAGAAGTACACCTGCCCCACACATCTGGATATATCAAAACAAACAAACAAACAAACAAAAAAAGCAGGGTGAAACAAACCAACATATAATCAACATATAAAGAAAACAACTTCAAAATATCTGGGACACAACAAACAATTTCAATTAAAACAATGAAAAAGGGCAAGATAATGGAAGTGAGTGACCAAACAAAAGAACTAAGAAATGTCCCCAAGGAAGAACAGGTAATAGAATTATGTGATAAGGAATCCAAAAGAGAGATATATGTATAGGATTTTCCAAGAGCTCAAGTAAACCACAAACAGAAGCAAGAAAAGGCAGACAATATATTTGAAGAACTCAGGGAAATAATACAAGAGCAAAAGGAAAAAATTGGTAGACAACTAGATATCATACAGAAGCAGAAATTAAACATCCAGAAAATGAACACTAAAATTATGGAGATAGATACTACCATATTGGAAGGACAAAAGAGTAGAAACAGATGGGCTGAGGAACGTATATATCAGCTAGAAGCAAATTTCTTGACATCAGTGTGTATAGGGAAAAAAGTTAGAAAAAAAGAATGAAGAGAAATGAAGAAAACCCAAGCATCATTAGGAATGATATCAAAATAAATAACATAAGCCTTATTGGAACTCCAGAACAAGAGAAGGCAAAATAAATAAATAAATAAATAAAAATTCATGGAGGAAACTGTTGAAGAATTATTAGCAGAAAATTTCCAAGTATAGTGAAAGATGACAAGATACCCATCCAAGATGGTCAATGAACCCTATACAAGATAGACCCCAAAACATATATAATCAAACTTTCCAAAAACAAAGACAAAGAAAGAATCTTGAAAACAGCTCAGGAAAAATGAAATGTTACCTACAAAGGACTCCTAATAAGAGTGAACTCTGATTTCCCAGGAGAAATGACACAGGCAAGAAGTCACTGGGATGACATATACAAAACATTGAAGGAAAAGAATTGTCAAACAACTTTATATATCAAAAAAAAACCTG